GGGGGGGGGGCAACATGCAGGTGAAAGGCTGGAATATTATAATGAGCTAGAGCTAATGACGTCAGAAACTACCCACTCCTGAAACCTCCTGATTTATCTCCTGGATTCAGACTGAGGCAGCCCACAAAAACATGACCGAGTCATTTTTTTTCAACACTTTGCTTGCTGATAGGCCCTCCACAGTCCCAAATGTACATAATCAAATTATTAAAAACTTGGTTTTGCATAATATATCTAAACTGGGGTCCTTCCCCTGTGTCCCCCCCCCCTCCCCTCCTCAGGGACACTCCAGCTTCGTGACCCATGTGGACTGGTCCAAAGACAGTCAATACCTTGTCACCAACTCAGGAGACTACGAGATCCTCTTCTGTGAGTCTTCCTTCTTCTGTGTAGTAGTTTGACCGACTTTGACTTGATGGAACATGATGAGTATTTTGTTTTTTTTAAACATTTTTGTATTTATTTTTTTTCTTTAGGGGAGGCATCCAGTGGGAAACATGTGACGAACATGGACACAATGCGCAACATGGAATGGGCCACTTCCACCTGCACTCTGGGCTTCAACACCTTTGGTAGGTACTTAAGCCGAATTTTATCCGTCCATCGTCTTTGACAAACAATTTTCAAAAAATAAAAAAACTGCATTTTAAACAGGAAAATCTTTATTTTATTGTTTCTCTTGTATGAATATGTGCCAAATGGAAAAACTAAGACACAATATCCAATGGGAGCAATGAGGTTTTAGCCTCCTTTGCCTTTGTTTTTGCACAGTTTAGCTTCCCAATGTTGGCTACTTAAGCTAATAGATAATAATAACAATAATAACAGTAATGATAATAATTTAGTAATGTCAAATAATCACCGCTATCTTTTTATTAAGCTTCTTTTCCCATGTTGGATAAATAGCTAAATTGTAGGTAACTGTAGTTAAAGTTTTAGGCTATGTCCGGAAAATGGCCGCCATTTTGAAAGACGCCATATTGGATCAAGGGGCGAGTTTTTCCAATGGGAAGGTGGTCATGTAGCATATCAAAGAAGAGCAGAATTGCCTCTCAAATTGATTTCTACAATCAGATTAGTAACAAAATAGCCCATTGGACATTTCTGTATGGTGACAGAATCCGTCTACATGACCACTTTCCCATTGGCTTTTAAGATGGCGGCCATGTCTCTGGCCGAGCATGAAAGGTATTGTGGTGAATTATGGGATGGTCGTCTTCAAGTAGCTCCAGTGAAGGTGCTGCAGGAAAAACTGAACTTGGTCGAACAAAAGAGGATTTTATTGTCAGCCAGGTCCCAGTCAGAAGTACAGATTGATGCATAAAGTCTGGAGAGGTCAGAGAAAACTCTGTCTAACTCTGGGTGTGTCTGCCCTTATATTTGGTATCCCGTATCTGTATTATTTTGTCTTACATAAGGCAGTTTTCAGCCAGGCGTGCAGCCCGAATATAGTTTTATCCATATCATAAACCTGTTCCTTCTTTGGTCCTCCACCAGGTACATTTAGGGCATACCTTGTCACTATCATGAACATCTCCTTTTTTCTCCTCTGCCAGGCCGTCTCCATACTTCCTCCATAGCTTGAGCATCCTCCCTACGCTCTACTTGTGTTTTCTCAAATGTTTATGCTCTAAAACAGACCAGTCTGTGCTTCCCTGTGAGCTTCAGACACTACAGTACCTTCCCTATTCCGAACTTTATCCTTCACCACCCTGAAACAAACCCCAACCTCTGTGTGTTTTCCGCCCATGAGTGTTTTTTGAAAGAAGCCTCTCGTCTCCTGAACGCCCGCCCGACATCTGTTCAAACATCTGGGCCGGGTCCTGGACCTGAAGGGGAGCCGATCACGCGAGGAACAATATTTGTCCACCTACCGCTCACCACCCCCCCCCGCTGTCTTCTCTCCCCCCAGGGATTTGGCCAGATGGCGCCGACGGCACCGACATCAACGGCGTGTGCAGGTCACATGACGGATCCCTGCTGGCCTCCGCTGATGACTTTGGCAAAGTGCACTTGTTCTCCTTCCCCTGCTCTCAACCAAGGGTCAGACACAGCCGCCGACACATGCATTTCTGAGGCCGATTCTTTAGCTGGAAGCCTGGAAACAAACCAGACTAGTACAAATATAACATTTATTGGTCACAAACAGAGTAAACCAGCTGGGTTCTCACAGACAAAAGTTCCCGGAGGATCTCAGTAGGCAAAGAGCCTCGATTTCCGGGTGCAATGGGCAGTTTTCCTCTGGACCTCCAACAGGAGGACGAGTGTTATTGGCCAGTTAGCTCTGACATGAACAGGCCAGGTCCTAATTCATGCAGGTTTAGGTGGAATGTGATAAGAAAGTGTGGATGTTGAGCTTAAAGACGAGTATCTACTGTAACAGAGAGAAGAGGAGGAGATACAGCCAGAAAGTTTAACACAAAAGTATAATCGTAAAGGGAATTATATAAGTCTAAATAGGAATAAGACAATCAGTCATTTACATGGATAAAGTTATAACATACTATGCTAAAGTGAGTAATTGTAGCCCAATTCTAACAACGCTGAAACTCTTAAAGAGGCGAGCTTGATGATGTGTTAATGAAGGCTGTGAAAACACCAGCTTTTAGAGCTGGACCATCCCCAGGCCTGTAACTAGCATAATTCCTCCCAGGTGTCCGTCCTGCCCTCAGAAAGTCCAGCCTAAGGCCGTCAGGCTTTTTTCCTTTTACGAGTGTTTACCCAAACAGCTTCTAAACGGTGTTGTAAACCTAATCGTCCGTTCAGACGAAACGAGCGCCGTTAGCTCAGAGTCTCAGAAGCCGCTAATTGTTGCAGCCTGTTTTTTTAGCTGCTCTGGAAAAGACTGGAAAGACCAAACCAGAGCGTCTGAATCCCTATGCAGCATCATGACTTCCCTCTGAAACAGTCTAGCCTCGTTTTAACCCTGAACCCACGTTTAATTGACTGTTTTCCTGAAGAATTGAAGCTTCATGAGATGTTTAAACTGCCTGCGACGGGCTTCCTGCCCATTTTCGGGAGCTTTTCGGAGGATTTTCGGCGTATTTCTGGAGTTTTCCTGACTCTCTCTCTCCATTTTCTAGGCTCCCAGTCACGAGTACAGTGGCCACAGCAGTCATGTGACCAGCGTTGCCTTCCTGCACGACGACAGTCACCTGATCTCCACCGGCGGGAAAGACACCAGCATCCTGCAGTGGGTGGTCGCCTAGGCAACGCGTCAGGGGCCTCCGGACGCCTTTTGGCCCCTGCCTCCTCTCTTTACCACACCACCCCCCCCCCCCCCCCTTCACGCCAGGTGTCGGTGCCCCTCTGTGCCTCATGGAAATGTAAAAAAAGAAATAAAAAAATAAGCAGCACGCGTTCCTTGACCAAACCCGCTGATGTCTCACTGAGTTAGACGTAGAAAAGTCCTGCTGTTTATGGTGGATTGTAGAGAAAAGGACCAGTGGAAGAGCCACAGCTTTGGTCTTTCTGGGCTACAGATAGTGTTAGCATTAGTGCTAACTGTGCCTAAACTCTACTCGATCCGACCCCCATCGGGTTTCACGGACACATTTTGCTTGTGAGTTTAAGCCACTTGATTGCAAAGCATGTCTGCTTTTGAATGCATGTCACACTCTCGTTTTAATATCTAATGAGGTGTTAATCAGCTATTGGTTCCGTTTTATTTCGCAAAGTGTCACACGGAGTGCTGACAAAAATCAGGAAAAAAACCTTAAATGCTAACAGAACTGCTGCTAACTTTGCAAGCAGTGGCATTATGATTAGAAATATTCATGATTTTGGACCGTTAGGGTTAAAACTTGGCCCTAATTTCACCAAAAAAGGTCATTTTACACTCCTGTGAATGAAAGAAATCATGCAAAACTTTGATCTTGTCACAAACTTGCAGGGATTTTGTTCAAACAGAATGTAGTTCCCCGATACAGAGGGCTTGACGGAGGAATTAGCTGACCCGTTTGATTAGTTTAAATCCTAAAAATAGACGGTTTTCCCCTTTAAAAGTCAAATTTCAACCCCTTGCCTTCTTATCTTTCACTTTTCAGTCCTTCAGCCTTATTCCAAACTCTTAAAGTGCAGATTTCAAGTGTTGCTTTTGGAGAAAGAGGGGCACGGGGATTCTGACGGGTTTGGCTTTGGGCTGCAGCACTGAAACGTGAAAGATAAGAAAGCTAGTGGTTGCACCCGAGTGGCTGTTAGCTTGATATTTATCTGTAACAATAATAGACGTTATCAATAATATATCACTATTGTGGCACTTTTAGTAGCGGACAGAGAGGTCAGTAGGCTGCTGTGCTTTGGAAGTGAGCTTGAGCTGTGCTTTGCCTTCTGTTTTGTTAATAAAGTTTTTTACCCAATTAATCTGGAGGCTTTTTTTTGTCTCTTCCCCAAAACAGAAAATAGGACAGAAGTTAAGAAATTAGGAAAAACTTTTTTGTCCTCTCGAATAAATTAATTTTAGGCTCATCTATTCTAAATCCTTTTTAACTAAAAAGATTATTATTAGTTAAATTGATCACTTTTTCCATTCAAAACACACCTTATGCTCTTTTTCCTTTTTCTCATTCAATTAACTGAATATTATATAAGTTACCTGACTGAAAACTAAGGATCAAACAAGCTGCTTTTTATTTCTGATGATTTATTTTATGCCATTTAAACTCAGTGGCCATCTGTCCATCCATCATAACTCTATTTTTTCACTTTTTATGAGGCAAAAATGAACAAATAGTAGATCAGACCTGTGGATTTTTTTTTCTCAAAAAAGAAAAGAGCTGTTGTTACCCACTGTGAATAATATTTTCTCCTTTCAGGCCACTTTAGGGCTCTATGGATGTGCCTGAGCTAAAGGATCACACTATGAACACTCAGATCCAAAAAGCAGCGGGCATCTTAGAGTTATTCTGCTTTTCTGTGGTTAATAAAGCATAAAAACAGCAAGCGGAAGCAGATATTTAAGATAAATGACCATGAAACTGCTCGTGTTTCATTTCCTTACTGTATCCCTAATAAAGAAGAGTCCCACTGTAACCTGAGTAAAGAACAACTCTCTATACGTCTCTTCATACCCTGAGACGTAAACTAAAGTTTGCTCTGTATGTTTTGTGGACTCTGTGGGATCTGATATTAAAGACCTTCCCATACGGTGGAAGGGGGGGGTGCGGGACATAAGATGCCTCCGACTTTAACATAACAAACAGAGAAACTGAGGACCAGGGTGACACAGGGGACAGGGAAGAGACAAGGAAAGACTCGTTTTTTGGAGAAATATTCACCATTTTGACACTTTAGGGTTAAAATATGGCCCAGATTTCGCCAAAAAAGATAATTTTACACTCCTGTGAATAAGATAAATAATGTTTTTTGGATTTAAAGTCATCGTTGTTCACTCTGAGTGACAGAATAACACGTTTATTAAGAGTTACCTTTAACTCTTGATTCTCAAAAATAACTATTGTCCGATTCAGGTTAGTATTTTGATTCATTTTTCAGTATAGTATAGTATACTAGTATAGTTTTTTTTAATACTTTTTTAGCATCTAATTAGAAGTTAAGTAAAAAAATAATCAAAGAAAGAAACAATATCTCCAGTTTCTGCTTTATAACTTAAGGAAGAGTTGTTCCAGTTGGCAAAACATCCAAAACGTCCACTTTTCAGCACTCAGATCAGTTTTGGTTTATGCCACCTGCTGTGATGGGACATTAAACAATCATCACTTAAGTTATCCTCAACTCTTCCGCCTCTCCTTTTTCTTCCGTTTGCACAGAGAGAGTGCGTCCGGCTGCTTTCTGCTTCATTAACCAAAGGGGGAACGTCTGAGGAGTGGATTTAAAGCAGCACACTGATCAAAAGCGAGCAGGTTTAAGATTTAAGAATCAAAGCTGCAAATAACCTGATAGTTCAGATCCTTATTCCACCACCATGAGCCTCTCTCTCTCTCTCTCTCTTTCTCTTTCTCTGTGTGTGTTTTGTGTGCAGTGTTATTTTTCTCTGAGGGAAGTGGAGTCGTGAGAACAGAAAAAGCTCCGATTTGTTCTCATGTTCCCAATCGTCTTAATAATGGAGGGCAGAGCGGAAGACGGTGACAGTCTGGGGTCTTTTTTCTTTTTCAGCACACCCCCCAGGCTGTCGCTCTCACACACACTCACACACACTCACACACACTCACCACCTCAGACGGTTCTCCTCCATCTCTGAGCTGTTTCTTCCTCCAGGAGCTGCTCTCCAGCTTCCTGGAGGACGTCCCAAAGCTCTTCTCTGGATCTTTTGGCTCCGTTCTCAACTTGTTTTCTGTCCATCAAACTGTGTTATCTTTGGCATTTTTCACTAACTAACTAACTAACTAACTAACTAAAGAAATGGAAATCATGATGTGTCTGATAACAAAAAGCCTAGAGACCCGATCTAAACTGCTTTTTGTCATTTTGTTGACTGGTTCATCCTGTAAGGCAGATTATTATTTTTTTAAACCCAAATGATTCACTGATCAATGTTTAGTGTCTCAAACACTTTGAGAAAAAGTTTGGATGCTTAAAAAAAAATAAAAAGAAGATTTGACAAAGATTTTTCACAGCTACCTTTAACCACAGGTGGACTTTAACAAGGAAAAACTTGGAACAAAAACAGGGAACACACACAAACAGAAACATGCTGAGGTTTCTTTTATACTTGTGTGGTGGCGTTTTAGTCTCATTTTTACACTCAATTGATTCACAGATCAAAGTTTAGTGTCTCAAACACTTTGAGAAAAAGTTTGGATGCTTAAAAAATAAATAAAAAGAAGATTTGACAAAGATTTTTCACAGCTACCTTTAACCACAGGTGGACTTTAACAAGGAAAAACTTCATCTTTTACAGGGAACACACACAAACAGAATCATACTGAGGTTTCTGTGGAGGCCGTCACAGTTTCATCTTACTTTGGAAAATCCGGAAAAAGATCCCTTGTGTTTGTGTGGTGGCGTTTTAGTCTCATTGCATTTAATTCTGACCCTAAGCGCTAAACTCCCATCCGTGTTTCAGGTTTAGCTCAAACAGGAAAGCATATGCACATAAAAACATCAATATATAAAACTGGCCAATCAATATGATTAAAAAGGGTGAAATATTACAGTTTAAATGCAACAAATCTGTTTGTTTTTTTCAGGATTTGTGGTTGTTCTGTTTCATTTTGTGACTTCAGGTGATTTATTTTTGTCTACTTGTCTTTCATTCTGCTTTTTGCTTGTGTTTTGGGGGGGAATGTGCCCCCCCCCCCCCCCCCCCCC